TATATATATATATATATTCATTAATCCTTAATACAATTAAAAGTCATAAATTTATGCATAACAAGTTGAACCATTGAACTACTTGATGTTGGAGGGGATGATTCATGTGTATTGATTGAATACGTGCCAATAATTGTTCAGCACATTTACATAGATACCACCAAATTTCTATGTATTTACGTATCTTACACCCAAATAAATCTTTCATATCACATAAAACATATCACCATTTTAACTTCTAAAAAGTGAATACACCTTTTCATACATAGATAAGGTGATATGCATGTAAAAGTTGATGTTTAAGTATTTGAAATGTAAATACAACTTAAACTTCATAAAATAGAGGGGTGAAGCAGAAGAGCATAGAGTTTGGATTTGATGTTGGTGATGATGTTGTAGATAGAGAATGTGATTGAAGTGGGAAGGCTCAACATGTCGCTCGGTTTCACACTTTTTCGGTGGAAGAGAAAAGAGAGATTTGTGTAGAGGTTTGAAAAAGAAGAAAAAGAGTGAGGTGGCTCCATCTAAGGTGACTAAATGAGAGAGGTCGAGTGAAGATAGGGATCGAGACAAGAAGAAGAAGGGGTAGGGAGACATCACTTATAATTTGTAGGATTACAACATAAAAGCTTCCACTAGTTATAAAAGAGAAATTGTCTTCTAAGAAAAATATAATGGAAAAATCATTAGCTTGCTTTCATATAAGATATTTTTCATGAAAGGATTATCTTTAATAAGTTAGTATTTGATTGTAGGGTCTCCGATTGGATTCCAATTTAATTTTTAAACTTTTGAACGATTCAATGTCTTGTCCAATTTCAAAAACCTTATTAATAATACCGATTTACCATTATTTTTATAGGGGCATTTACATATATATCACTCAATTAGGATGTATTTTTATATCTAACATCTAAATTTAATTGTTTACATTTATACGGCTCAAACCTTTCATATCACATTACAATACGACTATTTAAAGCATTATATTTTTTTTGTTCGACAATTAAACTCTATCATTTACATTTTGACCTTTCCATTTCTAAAGAGCCACTCGCCATTATCATCTTCAACCCTGCACACGATTCACTTGCCTCCATCAATCGCCGCTTAAGCCAGTTTCCCACCCAGTTGCTTGCATTAACCCCTTGTCCTTCCTTCATTACTTGCCATTATGGCATCTCTGGTCGCAGAATGACGCCGTGAGTTCGCTCCCGGCCTTGTCTGTCCACCGCATTTGCATAGTTGCAGCGATCTCGCAGGCGTACATTCATTGACTGTTTGCCCCCATCTTTTGTCTCACTAATTTGTCTTCTTTCCGTGAGTTCTGATTTTCCAAGGTTGGCAAAATCTTCTATAATGTATATCATAAATGCAACAACTCCACTTGTAAAGTATCTCCTTGCCTCAATTCTCTGTTTTACTTCAACTCACTCTTTGCAGAACAATATACAAATATAGTTTCTTGGATCCTTGCGTCTAAGGCTACTGAATTTGAACTTTCTTTAAATTCATTAACAAACAATAAAAATAGAAGAGAGGAATTTATTCCCAATTATTTTGAATTAGTGCCCTTTGGTATTGATAAGGGACAGTGTTATATATATAT